TGCGGTTCACATTAGCCTCTCGTATGGTCAATGGATGCGAATGTGATGAACATGCTTCATGTAAATCCAGTTCTGGACAAATGTTTTCCTTAGAACACAATGTGAGTGCTACACGCCATGCGTCTTTGATGTAGAGTTTAATGAACGTCTCCATGTACGAGTACATAACTGTATAACAATTTCATCCTTACAAATTTCGGGACGATCCTTTTGTATCTTACATAACATCCCTATGCCTCAACTATATAAAAGGCCTCGGCCTCCAAATCTCATGTCAATTTTGTACAAAAGAAAATAGGTGGAAAAAAATTCCATTACCAAGAAATGAAAAAGAAAAATCATTCATTTATATCGTGGATTGGATTCGCATTTTTTGAGATTGAAATCACCAAAAAAAAATTAGTTGGAAAAAAAAGGCGGAACATTCCTTTTTTTTTTTGGGTTAATACTACAAAAAATCTCAAATCAGTACACTTGTGATAAATTTACTCAAAATTATTTTTTTTTATTATCAAAAATCCCAAACCGGTACACTTGTAATAATTTTACCCTGCGTTAATTTTCATTAAATTTTATTGTCAAATTTCTGACACTTGATAGCTGACGGGTGTACCAGTTTGTGGTTGTACCCTCCATTTGTCATAAGTATACGGACTTGTGATTTTTCATGATATTAATTTAATTCAACGGAGAGTAAATTTGTCATAAATATATCAATTTTGGATTTTTTATAGTCAAAAAATTACTTTGGAGTAAATTTGTCACGAACATATTAATTTAGGATTTTTCGTGTTTTTTTTTTGGGGGGGGAGGGAGTTGGGAATTTCTGGAGTGATTTTTCGAGTCTAAATAGAGGGAAGCTGCCACCGAAATTAAAAAAAACTATAAATCCAGGACCTCAAGGTCGCAAAAAAAGCCAAGGACGTAGGGTACTAGAGTTAGAGTGGGCCCCACCGTGCTCGCCCTCCTTCTTTTCTCCTTCGTGCACGACGCCATCCTCCGAGTCACAGCCCAGCTTCTTGATGGGTACACATCTCTCTCTCTCTCTCTCTCTCTCTCTCTCTCTCTCTCTCCTGTTTTTCTTTTTCTTAAATAATTTTTTTTTATTTTTTTTGGTTATTTTGGTTTTTCATCGTTGTTGACTTGGCCACTGATGTGGTTTTTGGTGTGGACGCGCCCGCCCACCGTGAGCGGGGTGGGTCCTCTGATGGATTCTCAGTCGGCACCCGGTGGGTCCCCCCACCCCCCCGGCTCTCACGCGCTTCGTCAACCCGCGGGTGCCGCCCCCCCGCTTTGCCCCCAACTTTATCAACTCCTACCGCCACAGCCACCACCACCGGCTAGCTAGCAAAATAAAACTTAGATCATGGACCCCGCCGAGCCCCGATCCGCGAGGACCCGAAATTATTTTTGAACTAATTTTGGACGCGAACGTTTAATGAGAAAGGCTGGTATGCTCACAATTGTGATTTGACTAGAGTTCGATCCGGCTCGAATATTCAGGCTCGGACAATATTCGAGCCCTACCTTATGGCTTGGTATCGGGGCCGGCCAATGACCGTATTTGCTAGTTAGCCTAGACTAGTATTTTAGGCGAATGATGATTTGAGAGAAGTTGATAATTCAATATTCGGATTTTGGATCTTTGGGTAGATTTAGATTATGAAATTTAACTCGTAATCAGTCTCCTAAACGGCTCCACATTGGACAGGCTGAAGCAACATACTTCAGCCCTCGCAATTCGATTCTCGAACTCATGAATATATATATATATATATATATATATATCAAATTTTATGAGATCTTAAGTTTGGTTAAGGCAATCATCGATGTAGGGCTTACTCCCAGATGATTTGACGCACCCTGGTTATGTGTTCAAATCCTTCGGTTGGTCTTTAGTCTCAGAAAGCTTTTGGTTCAGCCACGGTGTTGGTTCGATTGTACCATGGCGTAGAATACCTCAGGTTTACTTCCACTAACATTGTGGTGGGGGTAATGGTGATGAGCTCAGTTCAAATGAGCAATAGTTATAGTTAAAACTAAAGATTTTCGTATTGGGTATCGAATTTCTATGATAGCACCAAGAAATCGCTGATACCGATCGCCCCTCTCCACACCTTTTTTTCCCAAGAAATAATCGGTTAATCCTTTCATTTGATTACGAGCAGTGTTTGCTTGCCTTTTGACCTTCTTTGAGCTGCTAACTATTGAGTTACCTCTTACAGACAGATTGCAAGAGAGCTTAGCTTACAACTATCTTGTGTGGACTGATCTAATTGATCGAAAATCATCTTTAGATGATTAAATCAAAGCACAAGCAATTCAATTATAGTGGAAGATAGAGCACATAATTATCACACATATGATGCGGTAACTGGTTATCGCATATCATGTTATCCACGAAAATTTCATGTCATAATTATCGAATATAATCTTGTTTGAGATGCTTACCGAATATAATATTGTTTCATATGCGTAAGGTTTGATCTGTGGTTGTGAACGAGAAATTGTCATCGAACCAATTGAATTAGGATGCGCCAGATCGATATATTCACTAAAAGGAGTAACATGAAGTTTAGAATCATGGCATGAATATAATGATCAGTGAAGTGCTCCAGATAACGAAGGTGTATATCTTGACTTCTCCACTGGGGACCTACCCCCAACCTAATGCTTCGGTTTGACTTGCTTTAACAGCAAGTGGAATTGGTTGAAAAATTCGAAGTAGAGCTACACAGCATGATGTGAGCGAGGTGCTCTAGTTGGCGGAGCTATAGCCCCCGTGTTTGTGACGCGCACATCCTATTGTATTGTGTATACAATTTCTTATCGAGATGAATTTTGCATTATTCAATACAAGAAATCATTTTTTGCCTTTATAAATTGGATTTATATCGACAATCTTAGAGTGCGTTTGTTTCGCGGAAAACTTAATGATAAAGGAAAATGTTTTTCGGATAAATCATTTTTCAAGAATACACTTAGTTTTCCTTTATTTTGTGATACACAATGGAAATTGTTTTATGATGTTTGGATTTCATTGGAAAATGATTTCAATCTCATGACTTAATTTCAGGCAAAAAGAAAAAATCGAAATTTTTATTTTTTAAAATTTTTTTTTAAATTGGATTTTTTAATTAATTTTAATTTCTTTTTTATTTTTTCCTTTTTTTTCTTCTCTTTCGTTTTCTTTTTTCTTTTCTTTCCTTTTCTTTCTCCACCTTCCTCCACCGCGACCAACCGGTGACACCCCGGCGACGGCCCCAAGCGAACTCGAGCTTGCTGGCCTCGGGCAAGCAGTGAGCCCGCCAGCCTCGGTCAAGCCCGGCTGGCCTGGATTTGGCGAGCCGCGAGCTCCCTGGATTGATTGAGCTTGGGCTCGCCTGGATCTGGCGAGCCACGAGCTCGCCGACCTCGGCTGAGCCCTAGCTTGTCTAGATCTACTGAGCCTCGAGCTCGCCGGGCGAGGTCGAGGTGAGGTGGAGGCGGCAAGGTCCAGGCGAGGTCGGGCCTTGTACGACGCCGGCGAGCCCGAGCTCGCCAAATCCTGGCGAAACTCAAGCTCGCTGCACTGAGGTTGGCGAGACTCTAGCTCGCCGAGATCTGGCTAGCTCGGCCTCGGCTGAGGCCGGCGCTTGTGGCCGGCGACTGGCAAAGGGAGAAAGAAGGAAAAATAAAAAAAGAAAAGAAAAGGAAAACAAGAAAAAACAAAAGAAAAATAAAATGTTAACAAATTTAAGATAATCAATTCCATAGAGTGTTTTCACATTCTTAAAGTAGGGAATTTACTTTTCTAAATTTATACATGAATGGTTTCCTTGACCGAAAAGCGTTTTTGGTTGACCAAATTGTTTTCGGACAACTAAACGGATAAAAGTCCGGAAAACATTTTCCCGGAAAACAATTTCATCAAAACAAACGCACCATTAGTTAAAATTGCAAGCGTCCCGAGAGAGAGATATGTTTGTTAACGACATGTTTGGCGAGTTAATAAGGATGACTTATTACTACCTTATCATACTTTTGCAATCACATTCGTAAATCTATCCAACATATAGTTTAAAAGGGACGAGTTAACAAGTGCCGCATCTTGTTTAGTGACTATCTCAGTATGCATTACATTCTCAATGCTTTAACCGTTCTTGTTGCTGCCATCGGAAATCAAAACTTTCCCTACACGACATACAATAACGTCGGGCCACTCGTGACCAAAATGCGATTCAAAATCTAACTGCTGCCGGAGAGATATCGATTAGTCACAAACATACGGTATAATCTACCTAGCATCAGGTTAAATGTAGTAGCTGCTACGAAACTAATGCTAGACAGCTATATAATGCTTGTGGATAAAATCTCTGGACTCCATCCCAAATTCAATTCAGTGTTAGCATGGTCCACCACTTGGCCTCTCTACCAAGTACGGCCTCACAAGGGAAGTGGGCGTCACGTGCAGCAGACAGCGATTCGTGCGCTTTGTCTCTCTCTCTCTTCTTTTTCCCGAATTCTGGATTTCCTACGATTCTTTTACTCCTCCTTCCTTTCCCTGGTTTATTTTGGCGTCTCTTCGAACGGGCACGAGTCAGTCAGTGAGCCGCGCAGTGGAGGGCAGACACAGGTCTGCAACTTGCCAATTCCTGCCTCATTATTTTTCCCCCATCCCTCAAAGATTGCATTCTCCTCATCCTCATCTCTCTACTTATCGTTTTTCTTCCCTCCCCCTCCCCCTCCCCCAAAAAAGCAGCAGAAAAGGTTTGATGGAAATTACACTTGAATGTTTATCATTCATTTGGTTGAGCAGATGGGTTTATCCAATTCAACTGTGGACTTCAAAGATAGGATTCAATCTTGATTGGATGTGTGGGGTGTGTGGAGTGGACCTACCCAACATATTCAAAGTTAAGTCTCATCCATTTATGTTTATGACAAAACAAAACTAAAGCACCCACAACCAGAATATAAGCAAGAAACTTGAAAATACTAAAAAAGGATAAAGAAAGGGAGAAAGAAAAAACCATGTTCATCTGTGATTCTGATTCATTGATTGGTTTGAGCACACAGATAAACCACAAGCTAAAAAACAACAAAAGAAGAGACCGATGACTTCAATCAGTGGGTAACTTCAATGAAGCGTGGGGGCATAGAAAGTGGAAAACAAACCCATACCAGTAAACCTAATTTGCAGCAGTATTCCGTCGTCGTCGTGTCAACACATAGGTATGAAGAATACATGTGAGCCACATGTGAAGTGTTAAAAAGGCAGGAATGATCTTCGATCATCTAATTGCCTGATCAAGACCAGAGCTACAAAACCAAAAGACAGAATGAGTTGCGCAGAGAAAAGAGTAAGATAGTAAATGGGTCCGTCTTCTTTGTCAGCTGCTCTTACGAGGCTTGCTCTTTCTTCTCACTCTGCTTCTGCTGCTAGTCCTTTTTGTTGATGACTCCTGCAACGTCTCTTGCTTCTGCTCTTCCACTTCACCAGCTCTGGCTTTCTTCGTTTGGTCCGCTACTTTAGCTTCTTCTTCTTCTTCTTCCACTACTTCAGCTTGTTGTATTGGATTCTGTTGTTCCTCTTCTTGCTTTGGTTCAGCCTTTGCTTCGACGATCTTGCGAGGTCGGCCTCTCTTTCTGGGTGTCACTACTGGAGACTTGGTTTCGTCTCCTGCTGCTGGTGCTGATGATGACGCTTCTGCTATTGCCACCGATAGTTCCTTCGTTTTCTGTGCCTTCCTCTTTCCCATCTTCCCCCAAATCAAGAAAACAAATAGAATAAGAATTCCAGCTTCTACTCAAATCTTGGGTGAACCGGTAATACCCAAAAACCTTCGATGAAACCTGTAGAACCCACCAAAACCAGAGCCAGATGTTTACTCTATCACCAAATCAAAATTGGTTTAGATGATCTTACTTTTCTCAATATAAACTCTCTCTCTCTCTCATCGAGAAGAAGCTAATAACTGCACAGCAACCACTTCTTCTTCTTTTTTTTTGGGTATGTAGCAACCACTTCTTTTACTCACTGAATGAATAGAATAAATAAAAAGATCACCAAATCATCTTTGCCTTTTCTTGGTCAAAGGAGTGTGAGACCCGACCCATCAGCTTCTCTCTGTGTATTGTTTTCTGCATATCCTGCGTCTCTCTACCTCTCTCTCTCTCTCTCTCTCTCTCTCTCTAGCGGACGAAAAGAGATATGTGAACGGAGACAAAAGGAGGAAGAAATGAGGTCGAAAGGGGAGTCAGCAGAGAAACGAGAGCCTGAAAATAAACGGCGAAGGCGAGGCGACTGACTAGGGTTTATTAACGTTACCCCACCAAAGGTCTCACATATGAAATTATTAATATTATTTTATATGAATTTTTTTTAATATGACTTTGATACATCATGTTATGGAAAGCTTGTTAAAGCCAGGAATCATATAGGGGGTCGGTGCCTACAAATAAACATTTAGCGGGATGTTACTCAAGACACCTTACTAATTATATCTATTAAAGAAATGTTTTCATTTCTGATATGTTGATTATGCATAACTTGATAAAAAATAATAATTCATTGAAAACGACAAACCTTCCTAATTGTGTAACGAGTGCTTTGGAAACTTTTGTTAAGAAGATCTTCATTCCAATTCTCGGTTTATAACACGGTCACGCGATATTCAACTCCACCTTTCTATCTGTCATTTCTTTCTTTTCTAATTGTCCCAACATCCTCGTTTTTAACGGTGGTAATAATTTCCTTTCTAATTCGTCCAAGCATATTCTGATCATATATGACTGCATACTGGACTTGGCTTTAGAGTTGGGTTGTGTAATCGAACATGATAAGACTCATCGTCCAATTGAACGAATAAGATGTTTCGAGATACATGCAGTCATGTCGCTTTCGGACGAGGATGAAGCGCACGAAGGACACCGACCCCTCCTTTATGGCCTTTGCCTTTCGGTTGACTACCCCAGCCAGCAAAGCACTTGACAGGAAAATAGATTAGGTCTATGTATCAGCAACATGCATCACCAAATAAGGAGAAGTGTAATGCCTTACCGTGGAACGAACGGTTACGACTTCAATTTCTACATCAGCCTCGGGATGTCGACAAAGATCGAGTTGGACCCAATCGATGCCGAACAACCTTAACATTGTCACCACACGATCCCTCTAATATTTGATGGAAGTGAGCTAAATTTTCGCAACAAAACTTTGCCTTCTAATTGAGTCACTTATCCCCCTACCAGTCTTTAGAATTTTTATGCTCTGAAGCATATATCTTGTCTACTCAGACTTTTACTTAATGAGAATGCAAATCTTTATTCGACCAAAAAAAGAGTCCGAAAACGCAAATCTTTGGTCATCAAAGCCAACCGCAACAAAACTTTGCCTTCAAATTGGGTCGCTTCCCCCTACCTGTCCTTGAGAATTTATATACTCTGAAGCATATATCTTGTCTACTCAGACTTTTACTTAATGAGAATGCAAATCTTTATTCGACCAAAAACAAAGTCTGAGATTGCAAATCTTTGGTCGTCAAGCCAACCGCAACAAAACTTTGCCTTCCAATTGGGTCGCTTTTCCCCCTACCTATCCTTTAGAATTGATATACTCCGAAGCATATATCTTGTCTACTCAGACTTTTATTTAATGAGAATGCAAACTAAGAATGCAAATCTTTGGGCGTTAATGCCCACCATAACAAAATTTTGCCTTTAAATTGGGTCGCTTATCCCCCTACCTGTCTTTTAGAATTACTATGCTCTGAAGCATATGTCTTGTCTATTCAGACTTTTACTTAATGAGATGCAAATCTTTATTCTACCAAAAGAAAAAAGTTCGAGAATGCAAATCTTTGGTCGATAAAGCCCATCGCAATAAAACTCTGTCTTTCAATTGGGTCGCTTATCCCCTTACCTATCTTTTAAAATTGCTATGCTATGAAGAATATATCTTCTCTACTCATATTTAATGAGAATGCAAATCTTCAACCAAAAGAAAAAAGTCCGAGAATGCAAATCTTTGGTCATCAAAACCCACCGCAACAAAACTTTGCCTTCCAATTGGGTCGCTTATCCTCCTACCTGTCTTTTAGAATTGCAAAGCTCCGAAGCAAATCTTTATTCGACAAAAAAGAAGTCTGAAAATGAAAACAGAAAGTTCACCCATCATAACGCCTCAACTAAAAGGAGTAACAGTATCCAGCGAGTCGTTCGCAGTTTGAGAGATGCACGCTAGAAAAGAAGGGACAATCAAGGGGGCATTAGATCATCTTAAGACCAACATGAACTATTTATAAGAAGTAAGGTCTAATTCCAAAAAAAAGCACTAATAAGTAATGATTTTGGCCCGAGCTTTTTTTTGTCTAAAAAAAAAGCACCAACTTTTTACTCAAGTCTCAAATATAGCCCCTATTATGAAAAATTGTCAAATTGTTCAAGCTAGATTTGAAATTCAAAAGAAAGTTTGTGATTTTTAATGAGACAAAAAAAATTCAAGACATAATTATCACTTGGTGTTTTTTTTGGTGTTTTTTTTTTTTAAATTAATGGTACCGTGCGAAAACATTCACTGCATGACTTCTTTTGTGCACTCCCATAAAAAAGACTAGCACACACGATCGCAGAGCGTCGTCATATGGCATACAAACAGATGATCACAACCGGAATTGAGAAAGAAAATTGAACATGAATTGAAGTGGCAACTGGCCTTCTTACTCGAGCAGTGAATATGATGAGAAAAAGCGACTACCTGTTAATTTTAACGATGGAGAAAAGCCAGCTCAGTTCGCAAATACTTTATGAAGCTGACGACTACGGACCGACTGATATTAAGGGATCCAAGTGGACTCGAACCACCATCCTCCCAAGCCCAGTGGGCTTGAGCGCTCTTACCATATTTGAGCTTATGGACCCACCACAAGGCAAAACTCAAACCAAAAAGTCACAAAAGGATCCAATCAAAACAACAGAAGAAATGAACAAACGTGCAGGGAAAAGAAACGTAGACTTCAACTTCTTCACCTTGTCTGGGTAAAAGAATATTCGCATGACCTAATTCTTACTTCGCAATAGTTTACCTACACACAATCTCTATTTCCCTATTAATTTAAAACGTCAGAAAGAGAACTAAGAACAGGGATTCAGGATACCAACATACCACGCCCCCGGAGGACAGGCCATAGAGAAATAAAAACAACTCATTCAAACTGAGAAAGAAAAATAGTAAGGACCCTCAAAATTTCATTGGCTTCACTTTCATCTCGAGTTAGCGTATATATCGTTTCGGATTTTTTTTTTAACTTGAGCGTAAATACTGAAATCAAACGAAAAATTCCTAGAAAATAAAATTATTCATGAATTGATACAAAACACGCTCAAAACAGCAACCCCAGCAGATACCCAATCTCTGAGGCCCTCTGGAAAAGGAAATAAAGAAACAACTATCGTCTAATGTTAATTAAAATAAGAAAATCGATTTACAAAGTTGGCATACTCGTAATTCTTGCGCAAATAAACTTAAAACAGTTGAAACTCGCCCATAGAAATGTATCGAACTTTCTCGACTTTCCAAAGATATTCAATGTTTTTATAAAAATATCCAAATTTCCATAAAAAGAAAAGAGCCAAACTATATGCCCGTGACCTTCTTTTTTTAACGTTGCCAAATTTCATCAAAATGAAAATGTAAAATATGCATAAGAATCAGTCCGGCATCACGGTGCGCCCTCGAAAGACAATTGGGATTTTAAAGCTCACCGATCGACTGTATTCATGCACCAGCACTCGATATAGGTGAGCCAACTCCATCTCCAGCTGCTTTCCAACCAAAAATGAAACTCCCATCTTAGTTGCTGGGATGGAGTAGGATCGTGTTCACCTAGTTCATACACGAATATTTCCAATAACTGACAAGGCACAAGAGGATATGACACTTGCGAAAATCCAGACGTCCGGTACTTCCCAACATCTCTCAGAAAACTCAAAACTCAGAAATTTTCCAAACTACGTTGGAAGACAACAGATCTTTGCTTCACAAGCTCTCCAACTGAAATGGCTTCGCCAGACCTTGAAAGAAATTGGGCGCCTTGATATCGTAAAACAATCAACCAGAATCTGATAATACCATATCTACTACATCCATGCGTCACTGTTGAAAAGCACAAATTGACAACATAGGTAATAAGGACTATAACCAAGGAATAAATGTCCTAAATCCTTAAGAAACATATATACCTTTCCAAGAATCAGACGACGATGAAGGCAGGTTCAGCAACTCAGTTCCATGACAAACTCACCATCGGCACTCAAAAGCAAATACTTCCATGTGTTTATGAATAGGAATGAAACTAATTCGTCTGTTCTCTACCAATGAGTCAGAATGTGTACATTTGTGTTTGTCTTTGATAATGGTAGATTCCCTCAGGAGTTCACCAATAAGAGCCAAATGAGGGCTTGGAGTTATTAAGACAAGCCAGCAGCAGGGATCCACAGCTACACGACAACACTTTGAATGGCACCAAGCTTAGCTCTCTACCTAGTCACACAATTTTATTAGACACATCCATCAAAATATAAGATCCCAGTTACCTGAACATTTGATAAAATGAACCATATAAACCAGAAAAACCTAGGATGAACAAGGTTATACCACTCAAAAACATTAAAACATGTGTTGAACTTAAAAGCACTGGATGCAACTGAAAGACTGAATTTCCACCCAAGTGACTCGTAATTAATGGCACAAAAAGGGAAACCAACAGAAAGAAAACCGACATGCCAGACCAAATTACCAATTGATTCTAAATTCAAATTGGCACAAGCTTCCACAAAGCTGCTTGGGCTCTTCTAGAATCCATTCATCCTTCAGCAACAAAGGAGTCAGGTTCAACTGATGAAGTACAGAAGTCAGGAGAAAAGACCACACTGAAGCTCGAATATAGAGACTGAGTTGACTATATCTCCATCTAAATCTGGTGCTGCTGCCCATGGGTAGGACATGCCTGGGCCATTCACTAGCCGAGTCTTTCGAAGTCATAAATCCGGTCCAGCCCGACCCTTAATAGTTCATTTCAAAAGGCTCGACGGTTCAGGCTTGTCATGGTCTCGTAAATTTGGCATTATACCGTCGCTCTAACAGCTTCACGAGAGAAGTGCTCCTCCATCCAGATGCTAGAACAACCAAAAACTTGCAGGTTAAGACAAGTTTCGACCAAAATAAAAAGAGACATGTACAACATAAACAGTAAAGCAAAAGCTTGCTCAGTCAAATATCTCACCTGCATGCACAAAGGGATGATGACATCTTCTCACGAGCGTTGACCGAACTCCAGCAAGATAGCTCGATTTTCAATTAAAAACAGACTTAATGCACACAACTCTTAGTACATGAGAGTACATGAAATGGTCATTACACTAATAGAACACACATACATTCTAACTGCTCTGAAAGCACATCAGCTTCGCGCTACAAATAATTTCACTACTACATACATAGCAAAAACAAGTAAATGCACATCCTACTTCAATCAACTATCTTGCCCAGAATTTTCATTGCCGTTGCTTCATATATAGAAATACAGCAAAATGAAGGGAGACAAAACAGAGGACGTTCTCATGTACCATGGATCATTTCTCTCAGAGATACGCATTGGTTTAACTTGAGAACTGTAATAATCAGCTTTACAGGAAGCATCTTGCAATTGATTTGTCTTATAAAGTGCATTAATCTGGCCAATTTTACTTTGCATTACTACCTTTACTCGAAAGAGATTAATTAAGAGACCGATGGGTATTCTCAAAAAATTTGCATAAGTAACGGTACATGAAATATCAATTAACACTATTTACTCTTCATAGTTATAGAGGTTAGGGAACTTCTCTAACTCACAATAGCAAATCCATAAAAGTATGTAGCATGCCAATCTTTGTAATGATTCATTTTCATGTGCCCTTTAAACAGAATTAGCTGTTCGCCATCAGCAATAAGTTGCAAAGGGATACATAAAACTTGTGATGATATCAAATGCAGCTATGGCATGCTGATGATTGATTCGGTAAAGGCGCAGAACATAAAACTGACAGTGATATATACCTAGTAGTTGAGATGTAATTGGGTACCTCCAATATGTATAATAGACACCATTTCCACTGAATAACAAGGGGAAGTGATCTTTCTGCTCTTTTTTTTGTGTTTTGTCATGCTTAACCAGCCATGTTGAACCATTTTCTCTTAGAGAGAAGGAGAGCGAGAGGGAGAGGAAGGGGAGAGGGAGAAGGAGGGGAGAGAGAGAGGAGGGAGACCAGGGCCAAAAAAATAAAGCCCGTACGATCTCCCCCCCCCAACAACCAAAAAAGACCATCTTATTAAGGGTTCCTTTGACCTGCCATGCAAGCGCACCTGTCATGGCAAAGGTCGTCAACAATGACTTTTTTTGACATCCCACGATTACTTCCTCTCACATCCGTCTTTTACAGCCATACAAATTTCTTCTCACATATGCTTACCATGCTTACCTCTTTCACAGATAATGGAGAATATGAAACTAACCAGCAGATCATAACCCCAGCTGCTAGGCAAATTTTAGAATAACCTCTTTCTATCTTTCCAGCAGCACCACGCCGGTTTCGAATTGCATCTACATGTTCCTCTTCCCTCTAAAAACACTTTAGCAATGACCATCCACGATTCTTCGATCCAAATTGAACAAAGGGGACCCTCCTGCCAAACCAGAATTCTAATGATACAAGGTCAATCAAGGGACCAGCACTTAACCAGTCGAAACAAGTAAAGACACGCTCAATGTGTACATTTACATAAAGGATTAGGAGGAACAAAAAAGAAGAATACCTATTATTCCAAATTCTCTTCTTGCAGATCTTGTGCGAACACGCACTTTGCCACGAAATAAGGGCAAGTAGATCTCTCAAAGACGATCCAGATTACTCTCTTACGTCTGATGAAGAAACTGAAAGTAAAGTCCCATCTACATGAACTTACTTTACTGGGACTATACAAAGAAGCCCATCATCAATAGAGTCCCTTAAGAGCATGTCCATTTATGTGAGCCACAGGATTAGAATGCAAAAATATTGCGTAACAAATTTAAGTATGATGGCGGACAGTGATCATCGGCTGTGGTAAGCATTAGCCATTAATTGCGATGAAATTGCTCGAGAACAACAATGAAAAAGCAGATTCCAAGACTTGCAATTGCAAATATCTGTGAATAGCGTCAAACCTTCTGACTGTTACCCACGTTGATGCACTAAAATATATACTGACACAGCACCAGTTTGCAAGAAATCCACTATTAAATGGCCGAAATTGACCATATCTGTGAATAGCGTCAGACCCGCTGCTGTTATTAATGTCTTGATAAACTAAAATATATACGGGTAGTAACAGTTTGGTCCACTGAAATTCACTGGCGGCACTCGACACCGGTGAATGGAAAGTAAATATCGTATAAATTCAGAAGGCGAAGCTATGGTAGAATGGATAAAGCAGTGTAGTTGTACCTTCGGATAGAGTATCATCGAGGACTTCCTCCAGTATAAGCCGAGTGTGATATTTTGAGGTCATCCCGTCAGAACTTGTTTGCCTTCCGATTAATGAAACAATTGGTTTCTTGCGAGATATCAGCTATAAACCACGTGCAGCTGTCTGAGAGAGAGAGAGAGAGAGAGAGAGAGAAAGAGAGAGAGAGAGGGAGAGAGGGAGACGACACCACGCCAAGGGGGGGAGAGCCGGGCAAAAGAAAACCCCGTGCCATCTTCCCCCCACACAACAAAAAAGCAAACTTTTATTGGGGTTTTTGACCCGCCATGCAAGCGCACCCGTCATGGCAGAGGTCGACGACAATCGCACATTCTTATTCCAACATCTCATCATCTTTTCCCTCTCACGACCCCTTTTAGAAAACCTCACTCGCCACTTGTTTCCCCCCACACACAACCAATTATACCTCTTTTCATAAATAACGAACAACCAAAAACTGACCAGCAGATATTCAATCATGTATCAAACCGTCAAGGCCATCTCTTCCCATCATCGCGCGAGTCCTTCCTTGTACAAGAATACACAGACCCCGGCTCTAGCAATCGCCATCCACACAGAAAACATCAAAAGGCCTCCTCAATCGAGCTGACAGTCCGCGGCAACACGTCCTCAACGAGGAACACGCGATCCGCCGCATCTGAACAGCAGCACGATTGCACCAAAAGTCGTTACATACGCTTAAAAACCAAGCGAAATCAACCAATAACAATCAGGAAAACTAACAGCTACCCGCAGCCGTGAACTCTCGGCCTCCATGCGCGGCGATGAATCCGCGGCACAAGAAAACCCGAGGCGGATATCTCGAAACACCGCCCGGATCACAAGACCCCGATGCTCGACCGATCTGCTCCGAAAATCGTAAAAGATCGATGATGCAAGAGGGACAGATCTAGCGCACAGACACGGAGAGTCTTCATCGAATCATACAGGAGAAGCGAAAAGAGGATCCGTACCGAATCTACCGCAGACACGCGCCATATCTATGCTCGATCGACAGATCGCGGACCGATCTACGAGAATCCACGGCTCAATCGATCGGACATGTCGAACGGGAGAACAGATCGATGGAGAAATCCGATGCAGGTAGAGACGGAAACCCTAGCAGCGGAGGTTGACCCCCAAACTGGAAGCAGAGGACGGAGGAATATGACGAAAGAAGAAGGGGGCGCCTTTTATAGCTCCCGCTCCAATTTGTGATCCAACGGCGGTCGGAGGTTCCCCGGGCGTTAAGACAAGATCTGCGGCTAAGATTGCGAGGTTGGGAAAGCGGAATCGACGGTCGCCGTCGCGAGGAAGGTTCTAGGGATTCGCGCCGCGTGACGAAGTTATCCGCATCACGGTTGCGTGAGTTTGGCGTCGTGGGCAGGCGGGCGAAGAAAATGTCAAGGGATTGGACCTTGTTTGGAGAGGCGAACAAACGTGCCCTCACGACCGACGAGATTTTCCAAGTACCACGCGTTAACTTTACCGTTTTGAATGTTACCCGCTCAGATGCCGACACGTGTGCACATTCAATTTGGACGGCCACGATCAAAACATCCCTTTTTCATTTTTTTTTTATCTTTTGTCTCTATTAATCTGGACCGCCCCGGTTTCTAACTTCTCAGAGCAAAATTTTTTTTTTATCCGTCTTATTTCTTTTTAACTTTTGCTGATCACCTTTTTGTTTTTTTTCGACTTCCTTGTCAAGCAATGACTTTCTCAACTCATTAGCAAATCCCACCTTAGCCTAAACATCATCTCTTTCCTCCCTTCAGAACTTAAACTTGTTGAGGTTATTACATTATACCCTTTCTTGAGAGCTTCCTCGTACCTGAGGAAGAAAACGAGGGAATTGAAAGTCAATAAATTCTTAATCCCCCAAGTGGACTCCTTCAACCGGCAAATTGCTTCATTGCACCAAAAAATCAATGATCGTTCGCTTCCCCATTTTAGCGGGTTGCCTTTTGAGAATCTATATAGGAGAAACTTTCAGCTTCCATGGGCATCAATCAAAGGCAGGTAGGGACTAGTTGAGTTCCTACCTTCTTCTTAAGCAAGGAAACATGGAAAACCGGATGAATCGCAATTGCAAGGAGCAACTTAAGCTTGTAAGCAATTGGTTCAAGCAAAATCTAGAATGGATTTTGCCCAACCAAGGATCCCTACCCATAGTGTTGAAGTTTCATGTATACTATTGGGCCTATTTGGTTCAACTTTTAGGAAAAGCCTTTGGGAAAATGCAAAGGCCATTAGAGAAAAGAGGTTTGGTGAAATGCAAATACTATTTGGTAAACTGTAATTAAAAAGTACTTTGGAATGCAACTTTCGGGGAAATGCCGTTTGGTAAACATATATTTGGAAAGTTGTTAGCTATGCCAATTAAATTTTTAAACTTTAATTAGTTTAAAATTAAATAAAAATAATGACCGTAACTTTTATATTTTCGCATTGAGAATAATGTAAAAGAGATGTATTAATAAATTTATAGATAAAAAAATCACATGACAGTGAATCTTTCTCAATTAAAAAGAGTAATTTTCATTATAATAAACATGATCACATATATCTCGATGAAAGAAATAAGTTATCCATAAATATTACAAAGCTCTTTAACTATTACTCAAACTCAAGGCTATTTCATCACGTAAACATGCCATGTAAGAAGATGCATTATCATTTGAAGTACTCGCCCCCTCATTTATAGCATCATGATCACCTGAATATCCATACTCGGGATCTAGATTTGCTTTTTCAAAATCCGTATCGATCACGACATTTCTTCGTATGTAATTGTGTAAAGCCATCGTCGCTATAACAATTTGTACTTGCTTTTCATATGGATAACTTGGCATGGTAGTTAGAATCTTTCACTTCATTTTTAATACGCCAAATGCTCGCTCAATTTCTGAATGTAGTTAGGAATAGGCACGATTGAATACTTCTCGATATCCTGTAGGTGCATGACCGTGCCAAAACTCTAGCAAATGATATCTAACTTCTCTATATGGCCCCAAATAACCCATGGGATTTGGATATCCAGCATCTACTAAATAATAATTACCTATACAAATATAATGTAAATTTAATTAATATATGCCACATAGATACATATGGATGTACATAACAATTAATTAATGAACCTGGAGGAGGATGAGGAAATTGTGCATCACGTCTTCCAGTGACATCATAAAAGATACGGATATCATGAGCTTGTCCCTCCCAACCGGCACAAACATAGACAAAATTCCATGTTAAAATTACATATGGCCAACACATTTTGAGTCATCTTTCCTTTTCGACCAATAAAACGAATTTGATCGTACATAGGTATCACCGCTGGGATATGTGTACCATCCATAAATCAATGCAATCCTAAAACAAACAACGCAAATATTACTTGATTTACATTTCGTTTTTCATTTTTATTGTACAATCGTAATTTACCTTAAAATATGGATAAAACCATCGATCTTTCTTGATTTTTTCTGGAACTTCCTTATATTGGTGATCGGATGGCTGGATCCAATCTTTTCCTATGTTACGTACTTTATCTAAAACTAATCTAAAGTTCCTACTTATGATTTCCCCAGAGCATTGAAAACGCTCTTGTGCTAACCTGTTACCTAAGTAGCACCGACACACGACACGCGACTCGACACGACATGACACACGACACGTTATTTTTCAAAAAATACAGAATTTCAACACGTTGTATATTAAAAGTATATTTTTATATATACATGATAAATTAATTTGTTTCAAATCCACAAATAAATAAATAATAACAAAAAAGAGCCTAAAATGAATTTACACTAAAAACATTATTCCACCATTTGTTAATATAATTCATTTGTTTCAATTTAACAAATTCAACTACATTCCATTCCAATAATCCATAAAACTTGGAGAAAATAAAACAAGCAATCCACAGACCACCATTAAATTTAACATTTAACAAAAAGTCAAAAAAAAATCCACACTTCATCATTAAATATAACAAGAAGTCATTCATCTATATCATTCACTTCTTCTAAAAATACATTGGACTCCATTTTCGGCTCATCAAGTGAAAGACTCACAACTTTAAGTACTCCAACATCTTCAAGTACTCCAACATCTTCAAACATGTCAAATGCATCTCCACCGATATCCCATATCTTGGTCTCTCCTTGTGCATATTGTGGGCATTTTCTTGATACAAAACAAAGATTACCATGAATGAAAACCAAATCTTTTTCATTAAATCAGCAAATTACATCCCGAAAATGCAACTTCCGAAGGCTCCTCCATCCCTCCATTCAGCCAAAGGCCCTTGGAGAGCTTTGGAAATGCAATTGCATCTTCCCAAAGTTTGCCAAAAAATTTGCCAAACAATCTTTACATTTGCTCAAGGGATTTTAGAGCCTCAAAGCTTATTTCAAATGCTGAACCAAACAGGTCCTAAGACTCCTTCTCAATTTTGTATTTGTACCTGTAAAATTTAACCTACCTAGGCCTTTTTCGGTTGCTCTTTCAAAACTTCTAAGGATGCTTGTCTATTTTGCAATAGTTGAGTGACTGACTCTTATGGTGAAAGAGATAGTAGGTGCATAAGAATATAATGCTAGGAAAAGTACCAAAAGAGTCATAAACCTATTACATTTGAACTAATTCAGTAATAAAAATTTCAATTGGATCAATTTAGTCATAAATATTTTTACATATGTACCAATTGAGTCAATCTAACCGATTTAGATCGGGAGTTGCTGAAGTCATCTTATGTGGCATGTCTAGCACTGACGTTCACATAATTTAAATATTTTTTTTCGATTTTTTCTTAATTTTTTCTTTTCTTTTTTTCATCATTTTTTCCTTCTTTTCTTTTATTCTTTCCTTTCTCTCTTTTCTTTTTTCCTTATTTCCTTCCGCCATTCACTAGCCTCCGTGATGGCCGACAAAGGTCGTCGGCCAACAGTGAGGGCTGGAGGAGGCCGCCTCTCGCCCGATCTAACAAGGGGACCCTCGGCCAATGTCGGAGATGCCAAGAGTGTCCTGGCCTCACTTGTGGTGGGCGAGAGCATCCTGGCCCTCCCCTTTGCCCTCGTCAATGGGTGGCAACCTCCGCCGGCCATCACAGAGGCTGTCGATTGGCAGAAGGAAATAAGGAAAAAAGAAAAAGGAGACAGGAAATAAAAAAAAGAAAAGAAGGAAAAGAGAAGAAAAAAAGAAAAGGAGAAAAGAAAGAAAGAAAATAATAATAATTTAAATTTAAATAAAATGTCCATGTCAACGCTAACCGTGCCACGTAAGCAGATGGTTGGCATCCACGTCAACAATTCTGATTTAAATTGGCCGGATAGACTCAATTAGTACCAATGCAATAAGTTTATAACTTTTTTTGTACTTTTCCCATGTAATGCCCAGTATTGAGTTGTATTAATGGAGGAGTGATAATTGGTGTTACATCAAGACTCAGCAAGAATTAATTATTTCAACCATTCTTTTAAATTCTTAAAAGTCACGTATCTAAATTAAACATCTCTAATTGACCATTAAATAAGGTTATATTCAATATATAAGTGTAGTTGAGTACCCAATAACTTGAAAATCACTTAGCTAATTGGTGGAGATTTTATCCCGATCACTAATTGTACTATGAGGCACCCTAGACTTGAGATCTAACTCAGAGAATACTTTAGTCGGAATAAGGACACTTGTCATAACTTTCCTATTACACTCATTTTGATGCATACTTTTTAATTGATCACCGAAGTGCTATAACTTTTAAAAATATTCACTTTGAGTGATGACGATGATTCTCTTTATCGGAAAATCCAACGAGATATTAATTCGATATGAAATTGTCCAATGTGACTCACCGGGGAAATGATATCATCAAAAGCACGTAGAAATACATGTTTCACCCCATTCTTTTCTCAAATTGATAAATTGGGGCTAAATCAGATCAAACCAAAAACCCGAACTCTAAATTAGGACAACCAACAACTTATCCTATTGAGGCCACCAAAGGACACCCCTAGAACAAAGTCGCTGGAGGCAATGCCTCTACTGTCCACATGACCCGTCATGTTTGTCCCAATAGGCTGTGATTCGGTGGTGGTCGGGTGATCGATTGTCGAGATCGAATCGAGTGATTCCGCGTAAACTTCC